CTGCTGGCCACACTCTTCTTAATGCACCCCAGGATCCCATTGGCCTTCTTGGCAACCAGGGTACACTGCTGGCTCATGGTCAACTTGTCGTCCATCAGCATTCCCAGGTCCCTCTCCGCAGAGCTGCTCTCCAGCAGGTCCGCCCCAAGCCGTTGGGTTTCACCCCATGTGCCTGTTCCTCGAGGTCAGCTTTGCTCCTGCAGGAGATCCTCAGCCCTTCTGGAGAAACAGCGCAGCACCCAGTGCTGCATCACCGGCAAACATCATCCTCATTCATACCTCCTCCTCTTCCTCCAAGATCAAAAGGACTTGGTGGAAATAATAAGGGCTCATTTCTCTCCCTGGGATTTTGGAAAAACTTGGAGAAGTATGACCAATGACTGGCTTTGGCCGTATTCAGGACACACTTATGCTCCTGAAGACTGGAAGCTCCTTCCAGGAGAGGACTCACGTATTCACTCTATCACTTGCATATTACTTTTTCTTGAGATGAGTTTAAATTTTAAGATAGACTTAGCAGAAGTGTACAGAAGGGAAGGGGGCTGAGAGTTAAGACATGAATTTTTGTTGCTGTACACGGCTTGTCTGTTGTGTCTTCTTGGATGATGGCAGCTTGGCTGAAGCAAGCAGCTGGAAGAGCAACCCACTGAAGATCCCCGAGTCCACAGAAACCTCATCAGCCTTGGCCGAAGGCGGTGGGAGGCTGGGAAGGTGCTCAGGGGAGTCGTTATTTCTGCTTGCACCTGCTTATCGCCACCGTTGGGTAAGGTTTGAGTTGGGTGGGTGTTTCTTCTGAGCCAGTAATGAAAGCTTTTCTGTATATGAAGTCATGGTCTGATGCTGGGGACAGGGCACAGTGTTTCCACAGCCAGCTTTCTAGGTGAAATGGGTGATTGCCTGGTCTTTAAGAAGAGGGGAGACTCCTGAACATACTCAATCATCCTTCATTTTCGATACGGAAAATTTATCACTGGTGACACGTGTGTAGTGACACAGGGCCATGAATTTCAGGCTGGTAGCGCTGACCTCAGCATCGGCACCCGAGAGGAACAAGCCCCGTCTCTGAGCCCACATTTTGCCAAGAATATGTGGTTTTTTGCAGAGTTTGTTCCGCTCTGGTGCTGAGCCTCATTTGGCGTCGGCACAGACTCTCCACTTCTACTGAGTAGCTGCAAATCAACGTGAGAATATATAGAACAGATAAAATATCAGGGCTGGAATAACGTGGCGCTGAGGATGTGAGCTCAGCCGGCGTAGAAATGGCCGCGGATCCAATCCCAGCCGCTTGCTCTGCGCAGCGAAGGAATTGCCGTGATCCCGTGTGTCTGGTGTGTTGAAGGCTTTGAGGACAACAGTCCTTCATTAACTGCCGCTTTCGGGTCGGCGTAACTGCTGGTGCTTCCAAGGAAACAACAAAGTACTCTTTGATGTTCGCGTGAAAGGGAGGAAAGTAGTTTCCCTGCAGCCGATCCCATGGCCGCGAGCTGGTAATGAGCTCGGGGGACGCTCGGCTGCTTCACGGGAGGGCTGTGAGAGCGGAGCTTGCGGCGCCGACGAGGAGCCTTGACACGATTGCACTAAAACCACGGGGCTTTAGATGAGCCACCATCACACAACGTATTATTTCAGGCGAAATATTCTATATTTCTGAAGCGTCCTCCAGCACTGATACTAGAAAAGCTGCCGGAACAGCAGAGCTAGCGCAGAAATGTCAAACCGAAGTCGGCGTTACTCGTCTGGGTGAGGGGTGACCTGCGGGAGGCTTTTGGAAATGTTTAGCCGAGTGATTTGTTTGGCTTCAAATATTTGGGAGCCATTACTCGGTGATCTGGTGGTTTCTGCAGGCTTGGATAAGCAGATTTAACCCCACCGCAGCCACTCTTTATATCCTGACTTATTCCTTTTTAGCTTGGACTAAAGAATCTTTCTACCTGTCTATTTCTGCCCTATGTTTTTTTTAATTTCAGGAAATACATATATATATATATGAAATATAGAGTGTGTATATATGTATGCTTTATATAATGTAGTGTATATATACGTACCCAATATTTATATATTTATTGAAATTATTTTAGATATATAGTTCTTTAAAGTATATATAGTTCTTGAAAGTATATATAGTTCTTGAAAGTATATATAAACTTACTGCTTCAACTGCAGTACCCTTTTTTATATTTCTATATCTATGAATAACTGTTCTGGGGGTAAATTGAGGATTCTGACAGGCAGGTAACATAGCCTAATGCTCTTGTGATCCTCTGAACAGAGGAAATAAATTTGTTCTTCTATTTTACCACAAGGTGAGGAAGATCTCTGTTTACACGTGCATGTATATGAATCGCTAGTGATAGTCGGATTCTGACTTTAACTGCACTGGTGGTGAACTTTGGTGTGTTTAGAGAGAGCGTAACCGCTGCGAAAACCCCGTCTGAACGAGTGTGTAACAGGTGGCGTAAAAAAGCAGCACAGGTCAGCTGTTCACCGTAGTGGCACTCTGGGATCCGTCTGAAGCGTATCAAAACGTCATGGTATTTCACAGAATCACAGAATCACAGAATAGTAGGGGTTGGAAGGGACCTCTGTGGGTCATCTAGTCCAACCCCCCTGCCTCAGCTTCAGGGTGCGGTTACAAAGTGGTGCCGTTACGTTGCCTGGCGTGCCGTGGAGTGCTGGGGCTGGTGGAGCTGCTCTGCTTGGTGCGGCTGTGCTGAGATCGGGCTAAAACCTGCTGCCTGGTCACTTTTAACTGGGCACTGAGTTCTTAGTGGAGAGCTGGGCAGAGAGGAACCTGATGAGGTTCAACCAGGGCAAGGGCAGGGTCCTGCACCTGGGGAGGAACAACCCCAGGCACCAGGACAGGCTGGGGTGGAGCTGCTGG